TTTCATATTTAACCCATTCAATTTGAAGATAAGCTTAGAAGACCTATTCAAAATCTGTCTTTGACCGGATAAGATTTATTATTCTCCGATGCATAAAATTATTGTATATGATGCTTAAAAGCTTATACCTCTTAAAATTCAGCAAAATCCTGTAAACGCTTTTTAAGGTATAAAGAGATATATATATATATATATATATATATATATATATATATATATATATATATATATATATATATATATATACACACACACACACACACACACACTAGATGTGTGTCCGCATAAAAAGGCGGTGATCAATAATTTTTCGGTGAATAATTTCTTACAAGATAATAATTTTTATATTTTATTATTAGTTATTAGGATTTTATGCAGAAAAGTCTTATTATTTTGAGAAAACTTTTAATATAGTCCTAAAGTTTTTTTAGAAAAACAAAATGTCTCGATTATTTATCACTTTTCCGAAATTAACGAAATAAGAAATCATTTTTAGATGACAGACTGTGATTTTTCCAAAATAAAACCATCTCCAACCTACCTCCATTTTTTTCTCAAAAATAGAGTAAAAAATGGGGCAAATAATGTTTCATCTCCAACCCTATTTCATTTTTTATCCCATTTTTATCCCTAAAAAGTATATTCCTAATATATTCTATTATTCCAACTTACATAGATTGTCAAACACACCCCCCTCTACTAATTTAGTTTTAACAAATATATAATTTATATTTTTTTTCATTACATTAATATTAAATACAAACAATTATATTTATAATAAACTTATAACTAAATATTATACATGCATTTATAAATATATTACACATACACATTTTACATAAATATAAAATAAATAAATAGTAGTATTGTCACTTGATGGTTTTTATTAGATTATTATTGTAATATATAGGTTAACTACAAGTTTAATAGCATATGTTATCGTGTTTGTAATATATATTTTAATCATAAGCTTTTGTAAAATACGTTATCGTATATTAAAATTTCAATATGTATTTAAAATTTTATATGAATTTGATGAACAAAAAACAAACTTTATATTTATAATTTATTAATATAATTTAATATATAACAAAATATTATAAGTATTAAATATTATATTTAAATTATAATTAGTAGGTAAAAATGAACTAGAAATGGAAAAATATATAACAGAGGGACTAAAACCGACAACACAAAGTTTACCACCATTTTGGTAGAAATGAATAGTATAACACCATATTTGGTGTAACACTATTCATATCCCCCAAAATCGGGGAATAAATGGGAGAGAGTTGGAGAAGAATGATGGAAGAAATGGGAGAAAAAATGGAGAATGTGAGTGGGTTGGAGATGCTCTAATAAGACATTTCTTTTCAAATAAAAACTTTTAGGACTTTTTTCAAAAAATTTATTAAAATAATAAGATTTTTCTGCATAAAACCCTTAGTTATTATGTAATAAAAATTATCATTTTTAATTAAAATATTTATGTTTGTACCTTATGTTTATATTGTTTGTTTATAATATTGATATAAATTAATTAATATTGGTGTTTAGTTTAAGAAATGTTAAGTAATTTATATATATGAATTTAATATTTTAAAATTTTCATTTTGCTCCAAATTGAATTTTTTAATTAGTTTCCTTAATTCAAGTCTTCAAATTTTTGGTAAGTATTAATAAATTATTTATGTATAATTGATTTGTATTAAAAGCTTTGTAATTTATACCTCTTAAAATTCATGATATTACTAATATGCTTTATAATATAGTATTATATATATATATATATATATATATAGCGAGAGAGAGAGAGAGAGAGAGAGAGAGTTTCAAGTGTTCTAATTAATTATTGTATGGATGTAGGAATGACTATGGACCAATCAAAATTTAAAAATAAAATAAATAATTAAATAAATTAATAAGGGCAAATTAGTAATATTACACATATATATTAACTAATATCCAAAATTAGTCATTGATATCCCTTTATTTTAGGATCAGTTTTTTATTTACCTATTAAACCCAAAAGACGACTCCAGTAGTGGTCATTCATCCGACCGATGCCTCAACTATTGTCTTCCTCGTTTCCCTTCCCCTGCATGTTTTTCAACCAAACCAATCAAGGGGCGGCCGGAAACAGCCCACCAAGATGCAAAAACGACAATCTGAAGGTCTTTGTTACAATTGCCAAGAAAAATACCTACTGGGTTGTTAGGCGTGTCAGACACAACAAATAAAGGGGTATGATATACTCCAAAAGAATCCCACTATATTGCACTAAAAGGTAGTACAAGGCAAGTAGGGTCGATCCACAGAGACACGAGATAATTAGTTTATACCTCTTTGCGTAAGGTACTGTGGTCACTAACAGTAAAGAGGGGGGGGGGGGTTAGAATAAAATAATTAAAAGAAACACTTAAAAACACAAGTAATCAACTAAAGAGTGAATTAAATTCAGAAATGGTAAGGACTCCAACCTCATGTATGACAAATTAGCAATGTGATTCCAAGATAACATGATATTTTCTTAATTCTATCTAAGTTGGTACTTGAAAGTGTTAACAAGCTCTAACACTTCCCATTCACCACATTAATTAACCAAAACAAGCTCTTTGATTAACCCTAACCTTACTAACCTAATCTAAACACGCTCTTAGAATTAGGTTGAAAGATTGCATTAAACTTTATGTGAATGTTCCCAACAACACCCAATACTCTTCACAAGCTCGGGAGCATAAGAGTGTGTGGATAAGATTTACACTAAATTCATTCAATGGAAATTAGTTTAGTGCTTGTTACTTGTTCAATTTCACAAAACAATTACGGATTTTGTAAAAGAGATAACTTGAATGACATAACCCTAATTCAAATGGCCAATAAGAATCACAATTAGAATCAAACATTCTATTAAAGATAAATCAAATTCACTAGATAGAAATTAAGAACAAACATCAGGTCATATGATTGAAGTCACTACCAAGAAGTCAATACATGAAATTGGAGAAACTAGGGTTCTAGCCACACATGGCGAGAACAAGATCACAAGAATAAAAGATGGAATTAAAGTGCAATTACAACTTACAAATACTAGAAATAATGTTTCCAAATGATTGCTAATCAAACCCTTGCAAAAACCTTTGAAAATCCTCCTCCAATTGTGCTCTGATATGTTGTGTGTGTGTGTGTAAAAATGGCCCTTAACCCGTAATAAGAAAGATAGGAAAAACTGCCAAAAGTTGGTTTCTGGGTCGAACACGGCCCGTGTTGGACATAGAGTAAATCTGACACGGCCCGTGTTTGGCATGGTCAACAGCTCACATTTTGCTCAATACGGCTGGTATTGGACATAGAGTAAATCTGACACGGCCGTGTTCCCCTCTGACTCCGAATCCAAACTTGATTTTCCAACTTTTTCATTCTTCGCCCAATCATCCCGAAATCTTCACCAATGCTTCCCGACACTTCCTAAAGCGCGTTCCAACCTCCGGTTTACCTGAAAAAGACATGAAAATTTGCAAATAAGGTTGTTCTAGAGACTAACATGAAATATGATGAAATGCAAGACAAATGAAGGACAATTATGCTAAATAGATGCATGAAATGGGACTAAAAGGTGCACAAATTGCACCTAATAAATCTCTCCAAGCTTAGACCTTTCTTGTCCCCAAGAAAGAACAAGAATAAAAAAAAACAGGACGATTTATAGATGGCAAAAAGAAACATAGAGCAAAAAGGGACAGAAGGATCCTAAAGGCTAGGAATGAATGCATGCAATGCAAACAATGAAAAAGGTAAAGAGAAAAAAATATACAAAAGCACAAAAGAAACAAAATGTATCAAAAAGAAATTTAAGGCACAAGTAAATAATATGTACAAGTACGATCAGACTTTACATCAACATTGCTCCAATCATTAATACCTAGGCAACCATCATGCTTCCTTCCATATATCACAGACTCCCAAAGTGAGGAAGACGTAAAACGGTGTAACCCAATAATCCAACCCTAGTTTTATTAAAACTTTATACCTTACTAAGCTTTATGGGAGAAAATAACATAGTCCGGATCTCATGTCCTTAAGACTAGATGGCCAAGAATCAGAATCGACACATCCTTAAGAACCCGTCACGGCGAATCAGCTTTCGCTGAAACAGTGAGCCCACCCGAAGGGGCCCAGCTCCTATGCTTTCACTTTTTCGAGAGCCACAAGTATCATATCACACAGTTCTTCATTCACCAGATTTGACTTGAATTGGCTTTTGATTTGATTGAACTTTGATTTGTACTTCGTTTTGAATTTGGATTCTTCAATATTCATTTTTGGAATTTCTTAAGATTTCTTCGTTTTGGCATTTGAAATTCTGATTTGGGTACTAGATATGACAATTGTACCCTTCCTTCTTTCTTGACTGCGTCGATCTGATACTTAAGCTCTCTGTCACTGCAAGGGTGACGCGTGTCAACAAATAGGTCCGTGTTCTATGGGTCCAGAGTTGCCGATAAAGATTCTTTTTAAACATTTAAAAGCAAATCATCCTAAAGTTGTTATTACCGCCGAAACAACGTTTCAATATAATTTCTTTTTATTATCTAAGACTAGGGTCTCGAATTACGGTGTTTGAGTCCCCTAGTTATGACAGTTGATTCTACACTTTCGGTAACAATCCGGTTTCTTCGGTATTATTTATTTTCATTTTGATTTGATCTCTCGATTTCCCACTTCATGGAGGTATTGTACGTAAAGAGTGTCATCATCTCGTATAAAGTTTTTTTTTTAATATGAAATGATGCAATTGATGAAGTGCAAAAACTTGAAATAAGAGTAAAAATAAAAATAAAAATTGCTATATATATATATATATATATATATATATATATATATATATATATATAGATATATATATATATATAATGATGCATGAGAACCTAGTGTGACTCTACCCCTCCCCAAGCTTAAAGATAAGCATTGTCCACGATGCTTAAAGAGGGCGGAACAACCTATTGCGGAGGAGAAGGAAGATAAGGATAGTAATCGGAGTTGCGGGTCCAAGCCGAAAAGTCCTCCTCATGCTTACACTGGTGCTCTTGGTTTCGAGCGTATTGGGTGGTGAAGGAAGAGAAAATTTGGGTGAGGCTTGTAATATCTTGCTGGTAAGTGTTGAGGCGAGTATGGATTAACTGAAACTCATCCATATACTGCTGATGATATGATGGGGGTGCAGCATAATGGGATGAGCTGGCACCACCGGTGGGAGAAGCATGGTGGGGCTCCTCCTCCGCTTCATCATCATCATCACCATCTTCCTCTTCGGATAAGGAGTCGGGGAAGAGATATGGTGTGATTTGCCAGTCGGTGAAATTATTAGGACGCCTGAGGGCAAGGATGTCTTTGTTCTCCGGGGTGATGAGAAGCCTTGGATCGTGGTTTTGACCTACGGTCCAATTATGGTTCCCGTCCTCCTCCTAGATTCTAGAACTCCCGTGGCCAGGTAGGTCTCACCGGGTAGGGGTTGGTGAGGTCCGGGGTATGGGGCCCGAGCTGGAGCACTTTTTGCCAATAAACTGACAATGCCAACATAAGATATTTTGCCAGACCGTGATGTGCTGAGGCGGGTGAGTTTGTGCAAAGGAATGAGCCATAGTAAGGAAAGAGATTATCGTCCGGGTGGGCCATCGCATAGAGTATTTTGAGCTCAAGGGTGCTAATGGTGCTTCTTTCTTCTTTAGGGATGACAAGTGAAGCAACGATCCTGTGGGCCACTTTCATCACAGGGTGGATGAGAGATGAGGCCTTAGCAGAACTTGAGACATAGGGAAGCTGGCGCGTCAGGTCGGTCCACCACGTAAGATCATTGTATCCTGGGATTCGGTCATTGGGGCCAAAGATGTTTTCTTTGGGGGGCCCAACTATGACATTGATTTGGTCTAAGGATATGGCATGGTCTTGGTTCATAAGCCGGAAGCTTAGGACACCGTGGTCCAAATCGAATGAAGATAAGAACTCGGTAGTTGGAACTTTATAGTTGAGTTCGTGGACCTTTAACAGCCCATGCCATCCAATATTTCGGAACAGTGTGTGGACTTGATTGTAGATGTGCAACTCACGGAGGGAGGGCACATGCGCGAATTGTTGGGTGGTGTGCATGCGTTGGAGAAAGGCCTCAAGTTTGGCGGCTTGAATTGGGCCATGACAAACCACGCCACAATGTGCCGGATTGGGTGGAGATGAAGGTGGGGGTGACGGGGACCTGGGTGGTGGTGATGGGGACCTACGACAGCGGGCCGACGATTTGGTTTGCCGAGGTCGTTTAGAACTCTCACCTTCCATATGCAAAATTTGGGTTAAAGTCAAAAAGTCAACTGGTCAACGGGTCAAAAAGTCAACACGAATTTGACCACCAAAAATTTGCCGGGAAATTCGGTTCTTGGTGGTTTCTAAGTGATTGTCAAGTCCAATACGACCAAA